CCCCAAAACCCCAAAACCCCAAAACCCCAAAACCCCATGAAATTATAAAGGCATTTTTAAAAAGTTATTACCATTTTGAGATAAAAAACAGATTAATTTTGTTAAATCCTAATAAACAACTTTCTTAATGATTCAATAATCTAATGTTTAATATGCGGATATTCAAGAGCTGATCTAGAGATTATTAATAACACTATTGACATGATTTTTTATCTGCTGTAAATCAACTTAGCTATTAATCCCCTTAGCTCTGCATAATTTAGTAACAGCTTTCTCAATATTATCCCCTTCATAAATGTTTAACTTGACTCTTTGATTTTAAGGAAATTAAAGGTCGATTGTTAATTTTGCCTCTCTCTTTGGAGATAATGCTATACTATTCAAATTATTCTTTCTACTGCTTTGATTTATTTAAGTATCGAAGTAATTATATTGAGCAGAACATACCTCAAGATTTTAGTTTTTTTCTTTCATTTTGTTTAATATATCTGAGTTCTCTCTAAGTAATATTTCCTGTTAAAAAGCTTCAGCTAATTAATCATTTAGAGAAGGTTTCAATATTTCTCTTGGAACGATTGATTAGATTTTTGGCTTAAAAGTATACTCATTCTTTTAATCATTATCTAGTTTCATAATTCTAACATTTTCTTTGAGCTATTTAGATTATGTCAAACCTATTGAAGCATTCTTATAATTTTCATCTTAAACTTTTTAAAAAATTTTCTAAGACTTTTGATTGATCTCTGGTTTGAAACTAAAAGGAGTCGAAAGGTATTATTTCATTTTTTCTTTTTTTGATTTGGTAATATCCTCATTTATCTTGGCTAATATTGGATACTAAGAAAGTTATCTTAATTTCAATCCTAAATCGTGAAAAGGTGTTTCCTTCATAAATTAATCATTGTGATTCTGAATATTAGCAATGACAAGGCAAAGATATTCTATACAGTTAAGGTTAATCGGTTTAGAGTATTGCTAGGCAAAATTGATGAAAACTTTTTGAATACTATCTTCATTAGGATTAATAAGTTTGAGCTAGGCTAATATAGAAAAAGTTTATTTAATGTCAAGTCCCTCTTTGGTCTTTTTATCGTTTAATTAAGATACATACAGTTTTTCGATATTGCTTTGCAGCTTTGTTTTTAAAATCGATAGAGAGTTTTCGCTTATAAAACTCTTAAGCTCACATTTACTATTATTTGTCACTTCGTTAGTAAGAATTTTTCTCATTCTGTTTTAGGCATCTAAGAATAATTTTTCATCAATTGATAAAGTTCTTTTTAAGCTCTAGGCATATTATGAAATGTTTGGTTTAAAATTAGGTAAATCTTTTTACTTTTAGATTTTCTTGACTGGACTGATAAAGTTTAATGAAGCCTTTTATTCTGATCTTGGTTTTGAGTGGTTTTTAGAATCGCTAATTTATCTGTCTTGATCATTATAATTCTTTAATGTGATATTATCCCCATCCATAAATTCATTGAAGCTACTGAATTATTATCTTGGAGTTTTAGGGCTAAGATAGTTTTAGTTATTTCTTTCCTTTGATACATTTTTATTATTTTCTACTTCCTTTCGTTTCTTGATTTAAATCATACCCTGGTGAAATAATCTGTCATGAATGGGTATCATTGATAAATTTTGCTTCTTTTATTTTCTATTTTCAATATCATTTTTGTCTTATCCCTTATTTTTTTAACTTTTTTACTATCTACTAGAGCTTAATTTTTAATCTGCGTGATTACCAAGTGATAAAGTAGATTAAGTTAGATATTTTGTAAGCTATATATTTTTACTATTCTAGTTGAAATTTCTAGAGACAATAGTGCTACTCATATACTTTGGTCTTTATTAGCTATGATTATTTTTACATTCTTTGGTTATCGTCTTTTTTGCATTATTCTTATTTGAATTTTGCATGTAATCAATATCCCTCTCTATACGGGAAGATAAACTCAAGCATTTCTCTAATTTTATTTTAGATCGATTAAAATTGGGACGGAAGGATTCGTAAGATTTTACCATACTATGATTTTGATGATGCTCACTTCCTTCAATCTATTGATTTTTTAGTGAATCTAATGTTTAAGCTTCTTGTATAAAGTGATGTTATCCCAAAGCAGTATTTACTAATTTACCAACCTGATGATTTTCTAGAAATTCTATATTGCTTCCTGATATGATTTCGGATTCATCCCGAATCGAGCTAGTTTCCATTTTTTATAAGATTATTGCTTAAACTGAGCCTAGAGATTCTTATCTTTAAACTATATTAGGATTATCTGCATTTTTGTAGATGTTAGAACAAATTTTTTATAATTCTTAAAAATCTAGTGATTTCTGACTGCTTTTGTCATCTAGTCTAATTATAGAGCTCTGCAAATATATATTCTAATCATAAATCCCTGATACAGATTCCTTCTTCTCATCGACATCTATTCAAGTATAAATCTCAAAAATCCATTTATAATTTACTTTTAACCGACTCTTCTGATAATTCCCAAAGCTATTTATCCATTATCGCCTATTTTTTTTACACTAATGCAAATATAATTTTAAAAATATAATCGTTAGAAATACTTTTTTAGCCTTTTGATTTGAATAGGGGTTTTGGGGTTTTGGGGTTTTGGGGATTATCAGAAGA